CTTACTCCTCAGACTCAAAGCCTGTGAGGCCCCCCCCCAAGGCCCTAAAGCAAGAGTGGGTGGCAGGTTCGGCGCCAATACAGTAACTTTCAGCATGCAGGTGAAAAGAAAAGGATCACAGTGTGGTTATGTTTGGATCTGGCGTTTTCCGTTCAACCCTTCAGACTAGGGCCAACCATGGCAGAGACTTTCAACCTCGACAGGAGCATCCGCAACACAATGTAGGACATGCCGCCCACATGGCCGGCATCGCTCGCGATCACATCGACTCCCCCACACCCTAGGCCCCTCCTGCAAAGCCTGCCACGCACAGAGTGAACTTTAGCTGCTGAGCCTTTGCCCTTAAAACTGGGACCCGGCATTCCAGACAAGGAATGCACGACGACCACGTCGACAACTGGCAGCCTCTTTGCCGACTCCACTTAAGCTCTTAACTTTCGATCCGCTTCAGCACCACCCTCCCCCCCCTTCTCAAAGAACATCATAAAGATCAAGAGAAGCTTTTCACATGTGAATGGAGTAGGCACGTCAAAAAAGGGCGCGCACTAGATGGACCCACCAGTAGCTTGAAGTTCGTGAAGAAGAGCGTGGCTTTCCCTCACAAGGCACTTCCGAACTTCTTGTGTCTCCTAGGTAAGGGGGACCCTTAAAGGGGATCCCTTCTGAACCGTCTTCTGACTCTCTTTAGCCGGGGACCTTATTCAGAGGGTCTATATCCCCAAAGGGTCCCCCTAATCCTATGCCCTATAGTGCTTGAAAGCTTCCCCAGGCTCTCGGGCTCCCAGGTGCGCTCCCCAAAACATGACGCCAGAGGAGGCCTCTCATTTTTTTTGTCTTTAGGTTTAAAAAAAGGGGCCCAGCCCTAATTTAGTGCCACTGGGCCTTGGCAAGGTTGTAGGTTCTGAAGGGTCATGCTGCCGATGGCTGTTTAGGGTTTAGGGTTTAGGGTTTAGGGTTTAGGGTTTAGGGTTTAGGGTTTAGGGTTTATCTTTGCATGGCACCCGCTCAGGCACGACCAGCTCCATAACGTCGACGCTTTCAGGCACGACGACATCGCGAACGAGCACATCCTCCACTTTGAGCAGTACCAGCGTGAGTTCAACCAGTAGCCTCTTATTTGCAATGGTTCTTCAGCCCACGCCTTAAGCCATACCGTCTTGGTTCTACAACGACCCAAAAAATCCTCCCCCTCCCCAGACCCCCCTGAAACTCCTTTCATAATCTTTGGGGGGGGAGCTTAAAGAGCTTCTTTTGTGTTGTTTTTTTGGGGGGGCTATGCAGATAAAAACCCGCGCAGCACAAAGTTACGTGCTACGAGAGAGGTCGCCCAAGAGGGGAGTGGGGGGAAGTTGTCCGGAGGAACTGGGAGACCAGTGTTTCATAGCATCCCGGGTCCTCGCAAGATCGCGCGCGGTGCAGGCACGGGAACCAGCATTACGGGAACGACCAGGCCCGAGGGATATCTGGGAGCTGCAACCCCTAAACCCTAAACCCTAAGTAGGACTAGGAGGTGTCGTAGGATTCAGTCTCAGTCGGCTCGTTGGACGTACTAGGGGTCTTGCATGACCCCGCACACAAGGCCACAAGCCCTGTTCTTACAGGCCCTACGCTATATCACCTTTGGGAATGATTTTTTACTTTTGTTTATATAAAAACCCAAGAGGATATTAAAAATGTTGCTTTTATTAAGGTTCTAAGGGGAGAATACGGCCCTACGAGTGTACGGCCCTACGGCTGCATCATGCCATCATGACTTGTAGTGGAAGCCAGGGCAGCAAGCAGGAAGGATATTGGCCTTCTGTGCAAAGTATGTTTCACCGCAGGCGCCAGAGACCCTTTAACCCTAATCCTCGGTTCAGAGGGCTTGCAAAGTGGCTAACGAGCTCTTTGTCAACAAAGCCAGGAGTCACTAGGAGGGCTAAACCCTAAACCCTAAACCCTAAACCCTAAACCCTAAACATTGAGTGGACCAACCCCGAACCTTCATCCTACCTCGGGCTGCCATGCGCAGTACTGCGACCGTCACCACAGTGACGACGACGTCTCTCACCAGTCGCTTGGAGCATACGAAGCCCAAAGACCTAGACCCATCCAAGGGGGCTTAGCAGAATAACGGTAGCCACTAGGCGTTGTGTTTCGGGGCAAAGAGATGTGAGGCCCAAAGGAATTTAAGGCCGATGTTGGTGAAAGTTGAAGGCGAAAGTTGAAGCTTGTCACCTTGTCATGTTGCTATTGTATACTTACAAGGCCCAAGTCCTACATGCCTACTCAAGCTTCGCTCTACTGCAATCCACCTGTGCCGTCTCTGAGCCACCCGAACCAGCATCCTTCCGAGACTCGAAGCACAATTCTGAATTCCTATTCTTTCATCAATTCCATTTCTGCAATTACAGATTTCCCTGCTGGAAACCTCAACCTGAGCCATAAACCTTTTAGGGTTTAGGGTTTATAGGGTTTCGGGTTTAGGGTTTAGGGTTTACGCTGAAAGAATTCTAGAAACCCTAAACCCTCAACGCTGCTTATTGAGGCACCTCTCACACTTCCACCGCTACTTCCGTGACCTCGACGTCGCAGACGGCCACAACAGCCACGTCAACCCTGACAAGCCAGATGCCGGGCCGTGTTTTTTTCTCGTCTCTTGTGGTACTTCATGACAAGATTGCTTCGATGACGTCTCACCTTGGGCGGCTCGATGCCTCTTATCATATAACCTACCCTAAACCCTAAACCCTAAACACTTACAAGCCCAGCATCCCAGGACAGCTGTCTCGTCGACCATTACGACGATGACCAGCACCTCAGGGACTGAAACCAGCATCACCACAACCAGAAGCACTGCAACCAGCATCACCACCTCAATTTCAACCACGCAGACCGCAACCACTGCTACCACAAGCAGCAGCAAGACTTTCACAGGAACCTCAACCTCACAGACGCAATCGCAAACAAGCTACACACACACGGTCACGACAATCACCGTCTCAGCGACCAGCGCGACGACGACTCGCACGAGTGTTACAATGAGCACCAGCACCAGTTCGACACAAACAGCCACTACCCGGACCTCAACGGCCACCAGCGTCACCACAACATCTGCAACAGACACAAGCCTTACAACTACTTCACTCACAGCGACTACACTCACAACCACTTCCGTCACAACCACTTCCGTCACAACGGTTTCCGCCACAACGACGTCACTTACGGGAACGCTCATCACGACTACTTTGACAAGCATCAGCATGACATCATCGACCTCCTCAACAATCTCAGCCACGACATCGACGTCCAGCTCGGTGACGGCAACCACCTCCACCAGCAGTGGCTGGGAGACCATTTCAGATTTAGAGTTGAAGAAAAAAGAGTTCACCACAGACACACTCATATGCATTTCTGTTGCACCCGCATCCTGCCGTTTCTGGCTAGCATGTCTATAGGCCACATAAAGATCCCCAGCAGTACTGTACCAGAACACCACACACGCGCACGAGCGCACGGACAGAGTGACACACACGCACACCCACACCCACACCCACACCCACACCCACACCCACACCCACACCCACACCCACACCCACACCCACACCCACACCCACACCCACACCCACACCCACACCCACACCCACACCCACACCCACACCCACACCCACACCCACACGCACACCACACCACACGCACACACACCCACACCACACACACCCACACAGACCACACCCACACACACACACACAGACACACACACACACAGACACACACCACACACAACACACCACCCACACACACACACACACAACACACACACAGACACACACACGACACACACACACACAACACACACACACACACACACACACACACAAACACACACACACACAACACACACACACACACACCACACACAACACACACACACACCACACACACCAGAGAGACACCACACGAGACACATACACGAGAGAAACACAGATAGACACATACACAGAGATCACAGACCAGCATACAACGACACAGAGACACAGACCACAGAACGACACAGACACCTAGACACCTACCACAGAACCCACTAGACACATAGACCAGACACAGAGACACAGACCGAGACACAGACAGAGACACAGAGAGACACACACACACACACACACACACACACACACACACACACACACAGAGACACAGATACACAGACGACACAGAGACAACACAGACACACAGACACACAGACACACAGACACACGACACACAGACACACAGACACACAGACACACAGACACACAGACACACAGACACACAGACACACAGACACACAGACACACAGACACACAGACACACAGACACACAGACACACAGACACACAGACACAGACACACAGACACACAGACACAGCAGACCACACACAACTCGACACAGAGACACACACACAACACACACACAACAGCACAGCACACACACACACACACACACACACACACACACACACACACACACACAGAGACACACACACACACATACACACACACACAGACACACACACACACACACACACAGAGAGACACACACACACACACACACAGAGAGAGACACACACACACACACAGAGCGACAGAGACTGAGAACTGAGAACAGAGAAGAACAGAGAATAGAGAACACAGAACAGAACAGAACAGAACACACCTACACACGCCCACACGTGCACACACGCCCCCCGCACCCGCAGGTACACAATGTCCACATGCTTCTGACTGTCAAGACGAGCCCATCATGAAACTAAGGCTCCATCACTTCTACTACTTCTCTTAGCAACACGACGACCACCATGACTACCACCTCCACCAGCAGCAGCACCTTGCCTTCAAAGTGCCCAAGTGGCCCACCCTGTGATACTGGTAACTTCTTCCCATGAGTCGGTTGGGTACCCAGAAGAGTTTGCGCATAAACCCTCTTGATCGCGACCGGTCAATTTGACCTTCGACCCTAGATTGTGAAGGTGTGCTGAGGCTGCAATGCCAAGGAGGGGAGAGGGGCCATTTGCACAACGTCGCTTACCCTCTTTTATGGTTTGAAGCCGTCCCATTGGGCTGGGTTTAGGGTTTAGGGTATCGAGGGTCGGATGGACGTAAAGCTGCCAGCCACCCCTGACATCGCCAGGTCTTTGGCAAGTAAGTTATGGCCGGTCAAGGTGGAGATGGAGCCCTGCAGCCAGGGATATTATCCGGCTTAATGTAAATGAAAGGAAGTGCCAGAACAGTGTCGAAAGACCTACACAGATCCATCGGGGGTCTGGGGTGGCAACCTTAATGCTCGCAGCCTTGCCTAAACCAAAACCCCGAAACCCCTAAACCGCTAAACCCTTAAACCCTTAAACCCTTATAAACCCTTAAACCCTCAAACCCCTAAACCCTAAACCCTAAACCCTAAACCCTAAACCCTAAACCCTAAACCCTAAACCCTAAACCCTAAAACCCTAAACCCTTAAACCCTAAAACCCTAAAACCCTAAACCCTAAAACCCAGGTACGGGTCCCGCACCCCAGTGTCGGCAACTGTTGGCGGGCGTCTCGACCAGCTCCGGCACCTGCGAGGTGGCCGTGGAGACCGACGCCTGGTTTAGGGTTTAGGGTTTAGGGTTTAGGGTTTAGGGTTTAGGGTTTATTGAAATTATTAAGGGTTCAGGTCCGAAGAAAGTTTCGAGGAGTTTCGTTTTTTGGTTTTTTCTTAACGATTTCAAGTTACAGGGGGCTTGAGGGTTTAGGGTTTAGGGACACATGTTCATATGCTTTCCCTTATTATGGGCATTTCCCAAAATAGGGGGGTACCCCTGTTATGCCCCAAATAGAACAGAATCCCCTTAAAGGGACCCCCAAAAGGGTAACCCCTATTTTCGGAAACCCCCTTGTGAAGAACAAGGTCGGGAGAAAGCTTCCTGTAGATTCCCCCCATGCTTGGTAGAAAAGGGTGCTCTCACGCCAAGCAGGAATGCAAGACCCTCCATGAAGGTTTTCCTTTTTTGAGGGGGCCAGGGGGGGAGTGGTGGTGGTGGTGGTTAAGCGGTCAGGGCCAATATTTCGAGATGTTCCCCCGTATACTAACAGTCCTCTTCTAATCAGGGAGAGCATCCCAACCTATATTCAAAGAGACAACTAAGGACAGCTGCCTGGCGCCAGTGGGCCCAGCCCACCACCCGGGTTGCGGCATCGGAGGGCCCGTGGAGGGCGCCTTGGTCTGCCCCGTGGAGTCGTCTGTGGCAAGTGGCCAGGTTAGCTGCAGCGTGTGCGCGACGCTCCACACACAAGCGTGGGAGGCTGGCCTCAGCATGTCTGGTGAGGTTCGGTGGGGCCCAGGTGTGAGCTGTGAGATTGAAGAGGGGATGGTGGATGGCTATCAAGTGTGGTTGATGAATGATTGTGGTGAGCAGCTGGTCCTTCTTGGGAGTGTGGAGAAGAAGCGAGACTTGCGGCCTTCGACGGAATGCTGCGACGAGTCCTGGTACTCTCTTTACTTGGTCCAGATGATGGCGCCGCCAGAGGCGGCAGCTCTGGCAATCGTTCCTTTCAAAGGCTTACAGTTTTACTCCCCATCCCTCCTGCCCATCATGCATCGAACAATCGCAACAACGACGACGACCACGACGACTACAACTACAACAACCCCTCCTGCCACGAGCCTCGCCTCAACCCCCTGAACCCCCTGAACCCCCAACCCTAAACCTTTGTCATAGTTGGCATTTTACACTTTTAAGGGTACTTACCCAATAGAAGGAAAATCAATTTAAATCTTTGTTATTAAATTATTAGCCCAACCATGAACCAGAAACCCCCCAAGCACCAAGATGCCTGAGGAGCGTAGTCGGGCTGGACGGATGCATCGGCATATCCGCCTCGGACGCCGGGCCGTTCCGGGAGCGCATTGGAGCTAGGAGCTTTTTGCAGGGCCTACCAACCCTTTTCAAACCTAAACCCCCCGCCTTAAGTGTAGGGTTCTAGATGAAAAAGCCCTTTTTCAAACCCTAAACCCCCTGAGCAGGGTTCTAAATTAAAAAAAGGGCCATCGGGGTTTGGGATCTCCTGAAGGTACGACATGATGATGTTTGATCGGTAGCGGCCGGAAGGGTTGAGGTCTTTGTGGAAGCTGTTTTCCATACGTGGCGTGGCAGAGAGGAGGTGACTTCTGAAAAGTTGAGTTTAGGGTCTAGGGTCTAGGGTTCAAGGGGCTTAGATAGTTAAGAAGGGCCCTGAAACCCTAAATTGCACAGAAGCCGCACTTCAGGTTTACCGAGCCGGAGAACTTGGACGCTGTTGAGCAGGCCGGCCTGCCTTACGGTGGAGGTTCATTAGGGTAGTTACTTTGTCATAGGAAGGTAACATTCTACATGTTTAAGGGTAAGGAATAGAAATGAAGATTGTTAATGTTCTCCCAACCATGAACTAGGTTAGAAGTAGGGTTATGAGTATGGTAATTGTACTTATGTCCTTGTTTAGGGTACATTCAACCCTACTTAAAACTACTGCACCCGTGAACCTCCAGGTAAGCCCAACACTCTGAACCCCTGAAGTTTAGGGCTCAGGAGCTGCGGTGCCAGGGTGCAAAAGGGGCACAGGTTTAGGATGTAGGGCTCAAGGTAGTATGGGGTTCCGGGGCTTCGGGTTGAGTGGCTTAGGGGTTGCGAGCAGTTAAACTCTCATAAGCCGCTTTTTGGATGAAGCCAAGCCTTAGATGAGGTTGAGGAAGAATGGCTGGGGCTCTCGATGCGTCAGGTGAGTTTGCGTATACTTGTATAGGGTCCGTTGTCCGAGGCTGAAAAGGGTTTCCCTTGTTATCCTTATCAGTACTACTAGTACCACGACGACGACGACTACTACTACCACTACCACAACCACAACCACTACCACAACCACTACCACTACCACTACCACTACCACTACCACTACTACTACTACTACTACTACTACTACTACTACTACTACTACTACTACTACTACTACTACTACTACTACTACTACTTCTACTACTACTACTACCACGACTACTACTACTACTACTACTACTACTACTACTACTACTACTACTACTACTACTACTACTACTACTACTACTACTACTACGACTACTTCGACTACTACGACTACTACGACTACTACCACTACTACGACTACTACGACTACTACCACTACTACCACTACTACCACTACCACTACCACTACCACTACCACTACTACTACTACTACTACTACTACTACTACTACTACTACTACTACTACTACTACTACTACTACTACTACTACTACTACTACTACTACTACTACTCCTTCTCCTACTCCTACTCCTACTCCTACTCCTACTCCTACTGCTGCTGCTGCTGCTGCTGCTGCTGCTGCTGCTGCTGCTGCTGCTGCTACTGCTACCACTACCACTACCACTACCACTACCACTACCACTACCACTACCACTACCACTACACTACCTCCTCCTCCTCCTGCTGCTGCTGCTTTTTAATTCTGTTATTGACGGCCGCAAATTCCCTGGTCAGGTCATGCAAGTGTTTCTGGCATTTGTTGCGGGCGCCGGGATCCTTCCTGAGCACGTGCGGAGTCTCAGGGCGATTGCCTTTCGTTTGGTTTCCCTGAAGTCCCCCCAAACAGGGGTTAGGGTTTAGGGTTTAGGGTTTATAGGGTTTGGGGTCTAGGGTTTAGGGTTTAGGGTTAGGGGGTGTATGTGTTTGTTACAGGCTGTATGTGCAGGCGTCAGGGTGTGACTTAGGCAACGCACAGACAAGTTGGGGACGGTCTCTGAATCATGAGCCCTTGTTGGGTACCATAAAGATGGGATTCCGACTTATAGTAGGAACCCTCAAGGAGACCATATTTGAAACATTCAGAGAACTGTACTGCATCTTGGTCTCAGGCTAAGTCCTGAGAATTTGGGCCGTGAGCTTCATCAACGCTGTAACTCTTACACCCGCCTGTCCCTTGACCAGCTCCAACTCCACAGCTCAGACTCACACCTTCAGGTTGTGGCACACCCGTGTGCATACATCCAGGCAGCGACCCTAAGCCCTAAGCCCCAAGCGCACATCCGGCTGCCAAGGTGATGGATGTTCGGGTGTCGATTGGCGCCGGCTGCGGTAGGGCCCGCCGAAGGCGCGGCCGAAGGGTTTGGGGGGTTCAGGGTTTAGGGTTTAGGGTTTAGGGTTTAGGGTTTAGGGTTTAGGGTTTAGGGTTTAGTCCGTTGCTCAAAAAAGGGTTTAGGGTTTAATTAGGGTTCGCTTGCAACTCCCGGGTGTCGGCGTCACCTTCGGAAGCATGAGAGGCGACCGGAGAGCCTCAATCCTAGCAAAGCCCGGGAACCCAGTCAAAAGATCCCTACCAGCCCCTTATGGGGCCTTTCATCCCTGCATGTAGGGCAGCGTCTCACAGGAGCTCGAAATGAGCATGGCCCCGGGCTTGGGGCTTCAGATACAAAGGGCTGGTTTCCTGGTTGGCGCACATCTGGCCGCAGTGATTGTACGCACGGGAGCTTTTCGGGGTCAGGAGAAAGTGCGTGTAGGGTCCAATTTAATGATCACATCTGCAAGCATCCTGATCCGATGCTTCCTCTACTCACCGATGCCCTATAAACCGGGAAAGCCCCCTGAGCCCAAAGCATGCCGTGCCGGAGGCGATTGCAGGAGTTCCTTACAATAAGCTACGCCCGGCGCTTGGGTGGTCAGTCGGGCTGATTGGGGGTTTAGGGTTTAGGGTTTAGGGTTTAGGGTTTAGGGTTTAGGGTTTAGGGTTTAGGGTTTAGGGTTTAGTAGGCTCGCTTAAGCTGAGCTCTGCCGGGCGAAGAGAGTGTCGGGTTTGACGCTGTTTGGGGTGATTTTCGTCTTCCGTTCTTTTCGACAGAGAGTTACTCCCGCCGATGTTCTGAGTGCAGATGCAAATAAAAGGGTTCTGTCAAATTTGGGGCTGAGACCGGATTCCATAGGATCTTGTTTTTGTGGTTAGACGGCCCCTTGCGGTTTAACATCTTCTTGAGTCTACAAAGTAAACCCTAAAACCCCCTGAAACCCTAAGTCCCAGACCCTAAGACCATAAGACCCTGAAGTGTAGTGGGTGCCTGGCCTGGAGGCCCCTGGTGGAGTCGGAGAGCCAGCACATCATTCAACGCCAGCGTCGTTGTATCAACAGCAAAGACATTCCCACCGAAGTCTTGCCTGCCTTAAGCAAGCGTGAGAGCCGAAACCGAAAAACCCAATTGAGCCACTCCATTTAAACCCTAAAGCCCTAAACCCAATAAGCCCCAAAACCCTAAGACCCTAAACCCAAAACCGAAACTTAACCCCAAAACCTGGTGGAGCCACTCCGGTATCTCTTCAGCCCAAACCCTAAACCCTAAACCTTCAACCCGAAACCCCAAACCCTAAACCCTGAACCCTAAACCCTAAACCCCCCTAAACCCTAGCCGTGAGGTCATCCTCCTGCCTCCGGATCTCGCCGACCGCGAGGCTCTGGCGCAGACCGCTGCCACGCGCCTCTCTGAGCTCCGCGGCAGGGACTCGGAAGGTTAGGGTTTAGGGTTTGGGGTTTAGGGCTTCAGGGGGATTCTGGAGGCTGCACTGCCTCCCCGGACAAGATGACAACAGCTAGCATCTCAGCCCTTCACACCTAAAACCTTGTACTTGTACCTTGGAATGCTCCCCCTTATTATAGTACCCCTATGACAATCCCTAAAAAGAGCTGTTAGTATAAGGAGGAAACATCCCAAACCCCCAAACCCTAAACCCTTGATAGCCTGCAGATTCGCAGAGCCGAGGCTCTCCTTGGAACAGGCCTCCGCTCTTCTGAACCAGGAGATGCAGAACCACGCTGCGCTGGCCGCCTGGCAGATGTAGGCTTTTGGGATGATTCGCGTGGGGTTCGCGTAAGTTCGCGCGTGCGAAACCCCTGAGCCCTAAAACCCTAAACGAAGCTGGGCTCAAAAAGCCAAGGGTTCAGGGCACAAATCGGTACAAAGTGCTTTTGCGGGGTGCTAAGGGCCACGGCATGCTACGGCTCCTGTCCACAGTGTGCCAATTGAAGACCAGCTCAGAGAGGTCTTGCATGTTTCCCCGAAAGAGGTGGATGTGAAGAGCCGATCGGAAGTTACACAGACGAGATGCTCCGTGCCCAAAAATCAGATGAGCCTGGAAAAAGATGGTGTGTGTGTGTGTGTGTGTGTGTGTGTTTTTTGTTTTTTCTTTTGTGTGTGTGTGTGTGTGTGTGTCTGTGTGTGTGCGTGTGTGTGTGTGTGTGTGTGTGTGGGTGGGTGCGTGCGTGCGTTCGTGCGTGCATGTGTGCGTTTGTGTCTGTCTGCCCTGTCTGTTTAAAGGCGGGTGGTTGGCTAGGGTGGGGGGTGGGGGGGAGAGTCTAGAATCTTGGGGTCGCTTCGCTCTATGCCAAAGAGCTGAAACGCCGAAAGCAGCCAAGTCTCCAACAAGGATGAACTTCTTGACCCTCAGAGTCTAGACCTTAGAACAACTTGACGTTGAAATCTTCAGCCTGAGGCGAACGTGACTGTGGTGATCCTGTCTTGGGAGAACAACCTAGTCGGTGTGTCGACTCTTGGACGTGCTTTCGGGTTTATTACGGCGTTACGGTTGGCTTGAAAATCGAGGCAAATTGATAGGGGGACCTCCAAACCATGCAAGGCGTCTGCTACCACCGGAGTACCCAACCCAAAACCCTAAGCTCTAAAGTAAGAAAGTGGGCATTTGGCATCCTCAAGGGGCCATATGAGAAGAGGGCTTGGCTCGAAGCACCCAAACCCCCAAGCCTGCAGGTTCTTGTTTCTATGATATGTAAATGTGTGTATATATACACACACGAATTATGTAGATGTATATAGTATGAGTATATATATATATATGTATGTGTATGGTTTAGGGTTTATACATATGTATATATATATAGATATATATGTCAAAGGTCACAAGATCGAGAAGTTCATCTTTTTCCGCTGCAGGTTAACATGTTTCCTACTTTTGTTCTACACAAAGTGTGGAAGATCCGTTCAAGGATACCGGAGCCGGGGGTTTAGGGTTTAGGGTTCAGGGCATCCTTTCCTATGCTCTCCACTGAACAGCTCACCGAACTCAAGCTCCAGTCCTCAAACCCAGGGCAGCTCCCCCACCTCCCGGCATGGATCCTTTCCTGATCGTGGCCATCGTCCTGGCCTCCTTGTGCATGCTGGTCCTGTGCATGTTCCTGCCCCCTGCCTGGGCTTTGGTGACTTTGGTGAGCCAGAGGGTGGATCGGGTCTAACCCTAAACCCTAAACCCGGCACCCTAAACCCTAAACCCAAGGGTCCCAGGAAAAAGGGTTGAGGCTTGGGTTGATCGAGTGCGGGGTTCAAGATGTCATGGCCAGGGTAAATTGGGCACTTGGCAGCTTTAGAAGCGACACAAACCCTGAACTCTACAGGGTTTTGGGGCTTACATGGCGTCCATGAGTTGAAGACTTTGTTCTAGGGATTCTAGGGATTCTAGGGCTTGCAGGATATTTGACTTAGGGTTTGCTTGCAACAGCTGGGCAGGTGATTGGACGAATGCGTTGTGGGCACATAGCCAGTTCTTTCGACACAAGCCCTAGGCCCCGGCACCTAAAATCTTTCTAAGGGGGTAGTTGCATGGTCCCTTAACAGGGTCCCTTACCTCCTTTTAAGAGAGCTGAAGTATGGGCCCTTGGGTTGTATGGGGCATTTCAGACAGAAGGGACCATGTAACTACCTGAAACATGTTTGAACAAAACAAGCCGGCTAAAACTCGAAAGCCCCACCCTCAAGCCGCATGAAACTTGAAACCAACGAATGCATGGTCAAATAAAAAATAAACAAATAAATAAATAAATATATGTATTATTTATTTATTTATTTATACATATATATATACATATATGCACTACAGCATTTATATAATCGTTGAAATATGATGAATAACGGAACATATACATACAGTATGCATATGTATATGCACACATTTTTTACACACACACACACAGAGAGTCTTTTTTTACCTTCGATGTCCTTTGTAAGCTTCAGGTGGCCTAAGCCCAGCCCAGGCTTTGCCGCCACTGTCGGAGAGGCAGCGCGGAGGCCGAGGCGGATCCGGTGTCAGTGGTGCCAACCCAGGACCACCACAACATCGTTGCAAGGTTTAGGGTTTAGGGTTTAGGGTTTAGGGTTTAGGGTTTAGGGTTTACGGTTTACGGGTTTAGGGTTTACGGGTTAGGGTTTAGGGTTTAGGCTTAAGATGCAAGAAGGGTTTAGGGTTTAGGGCTCTGAGCTTGTGTGTCTTTTTTCATTCTGAGGGCAACGATGTGGTTTGGTGGCTGAGTGGGGGCGGAGATTCGGAGACCTACTCGGAGGTTCATGAGGGTAGTTAATAAGTAGAGAGATAGGTGCCCTAAATTGGGGTAAGAAGTAGAATTGCCATAGTCCTAACCTTGCTTCTAATTATCCACCCCTAAACCCCTAAACCCTCCAAGTAGGGGGGTTCTGGAGTCTGAGAGCCTGGGAGTTCCCAGAAGTTAACACTCCTGGCCAGGCAGAGCTGAATTCTGGACTGGGGGGGGGTGTTGCGGGTCATACATAGCTGGAATCTTAGGGATTTTTTGGGAAGGTTTTGTCATTTTTGGTACTATAATTCCTAAGACACAGCTGAAATTCTCATTTTTGCTAGGGTTCCAAGATCAACATAGGAGCAGGGTTGCAGGGCAGCCTCTCACTACAACTGTCATGCGCCTACTTTTGTCACGACAAGTCGCCGGACTTGTCCGCCCCATCGCAGGACAGCACGGCCAAGGCATCGCCCACTCGGCTTGGGTTTGGGGGGGGGGGGGTTGTAGGGCTAGCGAGGGCTTAGGTTCCCTTATCCGCCCCTGTATGCCAAAAAAGGACCCTTTTCATTTCTAGGTTTCTCTTGGGTCTCGTATGCTAAGTAGTAGTACCTAATCCTATAAGAAGGTCCTTTACCTTCGTTTAAAGGGGTTCTGAATTATGGGCCCTTGGGTTCTAAGGGGTATATAGGGGGTTGCCCAATGAAGGGTTCCAGACCCAGGCCTGCCCGCGTTCCATGCACGAAGTTCTGATTTGGGGGGGGCGTTTTCGAGCATGGGGGGCAGGGGACACCCCCTGTATAAAATTTTTAGACATATCTAAAAAATAGTATTCAGTTGCAACCCCAGATGCAGCATGGCTCCCTGCTAGAAGAAAGGGGAACCCCTAACTCTGGCAAGCCATTGTTCATTCGGCGGAACCGGAAGCATGCGGCTTTTTTTGCCTGGAAACATCTCGCATGCCGTGTACAGGATGCTATCGACCCTTTCGACGTGCAGGTGCGCTTCATGCGAGCTTCGGGCAGGGGCTGTGATTTTTTCTCCAGGAATGGCTGGCAAAGAACGGGTACTGTGCACCATCCAAGTGTGGAAACGTCAATTCGCATCCCGACCTGGTGTCCTTATGGAGATGCAGCGGGGCGTTTTTTTCGGGTACAGCCGCAGTTTTTCATTGCAGAAGCAGGGGGTCGGACCACTGCAGCCGTGTTCGCTGTTGTCCCGAGTTCAACGGCTGCATGTGCAGCCGTTTCTCCAAGTCCCACGCATCCTCTGCCACGGCCGCCAGGTCATGTTTGCAGGGGGCGGAGACGTGGGTGAAGACCTGGAGTTCCAGATGGGCACTGGCGAGCACGAGGTGCCTGCCTTGGCCCAGCTGCACTGTGATTTCTTGCTCTGTTTAGGGTTTAGCAAAAAAAGGTTTAGGGTTTAGGGTTTAGGGTTTAGGGTTTAGGGTTTAGGGGGGTCCTTGCAGGAATGACTTCCAGGAGGTACATGGATGCTGTCTGTTCCGGCACTCAGAAAAGCTTTGTTCCATTCTAGAAGTTGCTACATGTAGTTGTCCCCAAGTCCAAAGCCCATCCCTGGGTGGTGCCAAATTCGTTGCCCCCAAATTCAAAATTCAGCTTTGGATGGTGTATTTATGACTGCCTAGGGTTTAGGGTTTAGGGTTTAGGGTTTAGGGTTTAGGGTTTAGGGACCCACACCCAGCTATGGCCCGCTCGTAGGTATTGTAGCTGTAGGGTGCTGGGTGGTGCCCAGTGTCTCACGTTTATCCAGGAGCACTATCGCAGATCCGACGAGAAGGTTTACGACTATATGGGGTCCCTAATGCAGACCTTCCCAGTAGTAGGATCCCCATATTATTAGGACCTCGCCATTAAAAAAAGGAACTAATTTCGGAAACCTCCCAATGAAGAAGCGAGTCCTGCCTTTCCCAAGCCACGAATCAAGGTTCGAAGCCTTAACCCTAGACCCTAAACCCTAGACTCTAGACCCTAGACCCTAAACCCTAAACCCTAAACCCTAACCCTAAACTAAACCCTAAACCCAGTACAGTTTTCGCACTTTTCATGGGCGCCTTGAAGTTCCTCAGTCGCCAGTTAGGGGTTGCTGAGGTTTAGGGTTTAAAGGGTTTAGGGTTTAGGTGAGACCTGGGGCAGAAGAAGGGTTTTGGGTTTAGGGTTGCTGGGGTCAGTTGCCCCATCGGTACCTTCAAGCATTGTAGGTTCTCTGTTCTCATCACATGCCGCCGAAGCGAGCGCAGGTGATGGCGGAGTTCGACGAAAGGACGGGGCGACCGCGGGGGGTGCGGGCAAACCCTATAACCCTTTGACTTGAACCCCCTCCCCCTCTTAAGAACCAGGACGTTCACTGTTGGGAACCAGCAGCATGGCCTGCGCCTCTGCAAGAGCACCCAAAAGTGTGGCAAACCCCCCAAAAAGAGCCCCCCAAAGCAGAGTACCCGCACGAAACTCGCCCCCAGAAAGCTGCTCTAGTATTTGTTTAAGAACCCCCAAGACTAAAAGCATATATCCTTCATTGTGAGGGAAACGCAGGGATTCTTATCTTACCCTGCATACATTACACCACGTGGTTATTCCCCCTAACCCTAAACCCTAAACCCGCTAAAACCCTCAACCTCTTCAGCAGGAAGAGCGCAAACCCTAAACCCTAAACCCTTGCAATTTCTTCTTGAGTGCACACCTTTTCCCGGAACTAGTCCCTGCAATGTGGCCACAGTGTCAGCTAGGCGGGTGGCAAAAAAAAAAAAAACCTTTCCCCGAAGCTGGTCACATCGGGATCACCGCAGGGACCCGCCCTTGTTCGCTGCGGGGGCCATGCCACAGTCTGATGCCTGCAGAGAGGCCGGAAGGGTTTAGGGTTAGGGTTTAGGGTTTAGGGTTTAGGGTTTAGGGTTTAGGGTTTAGGGTTTAGGGTTTAGGGTTTAGGGTTTGGGGTGTTGACACCCCGCGACCCTCCAAGTTCTTTACACGCGTGTGAGTGGCCCGGCGCCAGAAGCTCTTTGCTTTTATGCCGGGATGGGGTCGGATTGAAGCTAAGACAGTAGAGATAGGCCCCGATCTGTTCAGCCACATGGTCAGCTCCAATGACTAATGGCCCCTTTGGTCCTTGTGCATTCAGCGCACCGGGGGGGTGGTTCCTGGCCTTGCGCCTGTCAAACGGCTGCCGGGACATGACCTTGCGCACCGGATGGGCCGGATGAACCTAAGCTGGCGTCGTTCATGTACCCGCTATGACAAAAAAAGCCTCTACAGACCAGAGACCAGGCCACTCTGTTGATTTTTTGGACATGAGTCAGCGGGGGACTGGCGTTGCAGCCTCCACTGGCCTTCTGCAAAACCGCCGAAGCCCTGACACCAGAACCTTCCGACCCAACACTCTCGACCTTCTGTTGTTGACAAACCCTGATACCCCTGCCCCTAACACGAAAACCCCCCTTGAACGTGGCCCTTCTCATGTCACAAGTCGCACGCGGAGACCTATGAGTCCCACTTTTGTAAGATTCAGTATCTGGGCAAGGTACCCTTCACCTTAAACCCCTAAGCCCTTAAGCCGAAAGCGAACTTACTCAAGCCCTCAAGTCCTTCACCGCCCCAGACGCCAAGCCCTAAACCCTAAACCGGGTGGCAACAAAGAAAGCTCTAAACCCTGGAGCAGGCGAAGCCCCTGCAGCTCGTGTCCTCCGGGCCTCCGCCCAGTTCCTCCTTCTTCGCCTCCTGCTGCTGGGCCTTTCTCTGTTGGGTTTGGGGTTTAGGGTTTAGGGTTTATAGGCTTGAGGGTTTAGGGTTTAGGGTTTCGCGTGTAAGGTGTATGGTTGAGGGTTTGGGTTTGAGCATTTCCTTAAGGGATTGTGCATGTGTGCCGGCAGCCTCAAAGCCCGTTGCTCAAAGGGTTTAGGATAAATTTGGGGGATATTTTCCATTTTCCCTTACTGTAGTGGCTTTTTTTGGGGGGGGACCATATTTAGAAGAACAGATTTCAGGAGGGCTATAAGGCCATCCCAGCGAGAGTAGAGAGTGTGTCTTGCTATGTGATTGTACGGTCATGCCACTATACTGTTCTATGTGTAACCTCTAGTATACTGTTACCTATGTATGCTGCTACCCTGTTAATAAAGCGTGGTGTAAGGTCTTCGGGTGTTGGGCCGCAGGCCCTTGGACTTATGGTATCTGCGCGCATCGGGATTCAAGATTGCATTTGTTCAGGGTTGCAGCTAGCAGCTACGGCGGCGTCAGCTCCCGCAGTCCAAAAAACAACCCCTTACATAAGGATTACACCTTAAACCGTTTTAGGGATCCTTATATACTTCAAGCTATATCCCTTGATGAAGGAATGTTGGGCTCCCTGGGAAGTCAACGCTTGTGTGGAAGGTGAGGAGCCATCTAGATTATCGCTGAGCCCAATTACCCCTTAACGAAGGAGTGTACCGTAAATCATATGGGTGGTTGTCAAAATTATGATCCCTTTTTGGGGTACCCTAAATATTAGGTGCCGTATTATAATGGGGATCCAAAAAGGGACCATAATTTTGACAACCACCCATATGAAGGATCCCTATACAGTGTAATTCGTCTACGGCAGCCCGACACCCTATCGAAAACCCTAAAACAGCCTTGCTTAGCCATTTCAGACCCTCAAAAACCTATCCGGAAAGCCCAAACAGACCACAAACCCGAAGCTTGAACGCCTGACTCGGGGCTTCCAACGCCCTCCAGAAGTTGCGCAGGCCGCAAACAACAAGCAAATCGGTTTGGGGTGTTTTGGGGTTGAAGAAGAGGTTTCGGGGAATTCAGGGCTTAGGTGGCTTTAAGGCTCAACCGTGTCAAGTGAGTGGAAATGAGCCCTAAACCCTCAACCCTAAACCACGAGGCTGCGCCTGCGAGCCTGCTGGTCCCTGGCCCAGGGTTTGAGAGTTGGAAGTTCGTTTCGGGGATCGACATTGGACCGCAAGCATGTAGTAGTATAAAATAAAATGGCAGAATAGCAGCATTAAAAAAAACCACTTGTTTCTGTAGGCTGTAGACTTAACTTCGGGGGTCCTGATCGGGGCGTTGGGTGCGGGACGCTCGAGCCAGGGCTCACAAACCCTCTTTTGTTCTGATAAGAGAACTGGTCAACTCAGTCAGAGCCCGACATGTGGGTTCACGAAAATAGGGGACCCCTAAACTAGACCCCCAAATTCCCTTATCATGCGGACCCCCCAAGAAGGTAGTCCTATGTTCGGAAACCCCAATATGACTTTGCCCTCGTCCCTTTTGGGGCTTCTCAGGCTTTTCGGCTCAGCCTCTCCCCTTTTGCGGGGCTTGGGGCCTTTTTAGCTCCTCAAAGAAACCACGGAAACTGCTCTCATGGACTGCCTCAGATATTCAGAGCCCAGACTTGAGCCCCCACTCAGTATCGCATTTCAAGACAGAATGGCTGTTTTTTGTTCTTTGCGATACCGAAGTAATCAAACTAGCCATGATGATAAGGGCATGATACCGGTGATTTTCTACGTTCCCGTATCCAGGTCCTGCGAACAGCCAAATGGCGTACTGTGAGTCCATGAAGTGCGGCGATCTCGCATGATCTCGCCCAGATAGCACTGTATGCCTCCCGCACGACCCTGGCACCAGTTACCCAAAACCCTAAACCCTATACTAGCAGCGAGTAGAATAAGTAGAATACCGGCTTTCTGCGGCTCACAGCATTGAGCAATTCATGGTGCCCGATATCCCCAGACACTAATTAAAACATACTAAAACCACTTCAAGAGCCCTTACCCAAGAGCTTGCTCGAGACCACTCTAAGAAGAGCACTTCGAAGATGACCCTTAAGAGCACTCCAACAGCGACGGCAGTTCTGCTCTTGGGGGAGCGTGCGCGCGGGACTCAGGCGGGAGCGCCCGGGGCGGAGATTTCCCCAGGACGCAAGCACGAAGCCATCCAAGAGCCAGAGAGGAAGGAACATGCGTCCCATGCCGCACTTTCGCGACACGGACCGATGCAAGCCTCAAAAAGCGCACGGGAATGTCGAAACCTTGGTGAGAGGAAGAGAGAGATGCGACCCCCGAATGTTTAGCGACCGAAACCCCGTCCTGTTCACTACTAGCGAGATCATGCAACTCCTCGGGGCCCTCTGTCGGCTGCCGCACGGCGAACCGTGCGGTGGGATCACTCTCCAGCTCCCGCGGCGAGCTTGCAAAGCAGAGCCCGCCGTAGGAAAGAACGTCTCACCCAGAGAATTGCGGACTTGGTGGTGGTTGTGAGGGGATTTGACGTGCGTGTTGTTGCGTCATTGTCTCAGCAAGCTGACAACGAATAATGCCGCTTGTTGACCGAACTGAAAATTCCTGAGCAACCGCCCACGCAGGTTGTGACATAAAGCTGGCCCTGTGAGGATTGTGCGCGTTGTCCCGGAACATGCAATGCGGGGTGAGCCTGTACTGTAGCATTTAGAAGCGGTTAGTAGGGAGTTAGGAATCACCTACGGCAGCCCTTTGACGTCCCTGACGATTGACGGCAACCTTTAGCTGAACCTTGCGTCCAGTGTTTAGGGGCAACATGCACTGTCGCAGGCCTCGTGCGTGCGGCAGGAATCAGACATGCCCACTGCGTCAAAGAGTCTCGTTGAGGGCAATTGGGTTACAGTGTTTATGGCACGGGTTTAAAGCTATGGTTCAAGAGTCTTGCGAGCCGAGAGGGAGAGATAGACCCCAGAACAAAAGAAAGAAAGAGTGTCCGAAAGAGGGATTCCTTCTCCGCGCTGTAGCGGCATGTGTGCCCCGATAGTTTAAGCGACGATGACTGCTGAAACCAGCAGCCGCGAGAGGAAGAGAGGTGGCCATAGACGGGGCAGCTCCCCCATGACTTATGCTGACTTAAGACAACTCAGGTTCTGTTTCAATCTTTGGCAACGACGAAACCCGAAAACCTAACCCTATATTCGAACCCTAACGGGATGGCAAATGCACAGTCCTCATCGGTTTTTGCCCAAGCTGAAAAGATTCCCCCCCCATTCCACCCATCTGGCTCACCCAGAGAGCCCAACACCCCTTTAATTATGGAAAACAGATATATGTACACCCTAAATCATATTTAGGATCACCATGTTTGGATGTTCCCCCTCATGCTAACAGTCCTTAATTGGCATTATAGTACCTCCCATTAGAATCCCTGTTAAGGACTGTTAGTAGAAGGGGGGACATCCCTATCCCTATATATTATACAATCTAATCTTAAGGTATCTTCCATGACGCCCGGAAGTTCTTATGTGGATGATCCTGTTTCCACAGCGGCCGGCCACCTGCCATGCGCTGAGGCCCGCCACTTCGAGTTCACAAAAGGGTAGAGGCAAAAAGGGGCTTAGGGGTTTAGGGGTTAGGGTTTAGGGTCTAGGGTTTAGGGTCTAGGGTTTAGGGTTTAGGGTTTAGGACCCAGCGTCGAAATCGGGATGATCAGATGTAAGCCCTCCTAAGGCACAACACAACCAGATCCGCCCTCAAGCCCGAATCCTCACTGTACCTTTGGGCAGGGGGCAAAACCCTACTATTCTCACACCTAATGAATGTACACACATAGATGTATACATGCATACATACACACACATATATATATATATGTATATGTATTGATTCATCTATCTAGTTATTCTAGAGCGCGCCAGGAGTACTGCTCAAACACATGTCATACAGCTCAGCTCGTGCGGGTCTCGCAGCTCGTCAGCCCGGCTGTTCTGCAACGCAAAGGTCGTTGCCACTGCTGGGCTGTGCACTCGCGTAGCTTCTCACAGAAGGGAGCCCACGGCCATGATGTAGGGTTTAGGGTTTAGGGTTTAGGGTTTAGGGTTTAGGGTTTAGGGTTTAGGGTTTAGGGTTTAGGGTTTAGGGTTTAGGGCGCAACCTTCCAAAGCCTGTTGCAAAAGGGTTTAGGGTTTTGGGTTTAAGGTTTAGGGTTTAGGGTTTAGGGTTTAGGGTTTAGGGTTTAGGGGGAGTGCAGGGGCCTCACTTAAGCTTCAGCTCCAAGCTCGGGTTGCTGAGTCTGATGGTGAAGAGTGACACGTTGGACGAACAACCTGGGCTGTTGTTGGGGCTGGAGGGCGCCTACAGGGTTTAGGGGTTTATAGGGGTTTAGAGGTTTTTTATGGTTTTTCAGGGGGTTTTAGGGGTTTTTAGGGGTTTAGGGGTTTGTGGCTCTAGGGTTGAAGGCTGGAAAGCGGCGGTCGGGGTAGAGTGCCTTGGCACATTGGCTATTGGTTGTCGTTGCTCCTTGCGCGTTTTGCGTTTGGAGCATCCGAAAAGTTCAACTTTCAGATTCGCATCTTCAGGTCCGGGTAGTATATCGCAGGGGCCACCGCGCATGGAGTTTGAGAAGCTGCGGCATCAAACTCGGAATCTCGAGTGCCCCCCGAGACTGTCGAGAGGCGGCTGAACGCGAGCCACCAGCACACAAAGACCTTCAATCCCCAGCCTACGAATCTATGAACGACCCCTTCCCAAAAAAACAACGAAACAAAAACAAAAAGCAAAGAACACACAGAAACATAACAGTTGCCAAATGGGCCTTGCCGGGCCTGCGTGAAGTTGAGGGTCGAAATCCCTACTAGTAACACTGGAAACCTAAGGGTACCGAGTCCACAAGTTGCAAAGCCAAGCTCAACATCATCTCAAGACTACTACTTGCTTCAAGAACCACCGAAAAATAGGAAAAAATTCACTTCCTATAAGTGCAATATAGGGATTGTTATCTTTACTTTGGGGGGTTCTTAAGCAAATAATGGAAGAGGGGGGCCTCTCTGAGCCAGCGTTATGACTTGTGAGATGTCGGGGCTTTCGCAAGTTCCGTCACATGGCGGCGGCTTAGTGTGACATTGCAGATTTCCGGATCTTACCAGAAACGTATAGGAGTTCCCGGTCATATATGAAATATGAATGTATATATATATATATGTATGTATTATATAGCTGTATCTATACATATATACATATGTAGTAACATGATGTACATATATATATATATATATTTTTTTTTATTTACTATATTCGCAATAACAATAAGAAGTAATTAACGCTTTGAGCTTCGGATCTAGGAGCATCCACACTTCCGCAGCGTTTGGCTCAAACGAAGTGTTGAGCTCGCTTAGATGCCAATAGGGCCCGAAGCACTGCTTCGTATCGTACATGCCCGTAATCCTAACCTTCCAAGTGCCCTTTGAGCAGGTAAAATTTAACCCCCTAGTTAGGAAGGTACCATTCGACCCCTTACCTATGACCCTCCACCCTGGCAGCCAGTTTTTCGACGGCTTCGCAACTCGGCGCCCTTGCAGACCCTCAACCCTAAGACCCTGCGAAGCCTAAGATCCAGCTATGTTCCCTAGGCGAGCATGCTCATGGAGCACAAGACCTGTAAACTAAGGGGTCTTGGCGATCTCTCGCGAGACTTAGTTATCAGGGCCTGCCTGGCCCAGCCAGCAGCTTTTCTTTATGTGAATGGTCCACGCACTCGGCTGTGAGTGCTGGTGCCCAACCCGTCGGACCGGGCGACAAGGAGTTTATCCCGGAGGGTTTCATGGCCTGGTCTTATACCGGCTTTTGGAGCACTCGTGCTGTGATGTTTTTTTGGTTCCGTTGTTTGGTTTCGGGTCCCTGTTACAGCTACTTATACCTAAAAAGTATGTACCTTTTTCCTCCCAGGGTCGACTCCAAAGTAGGGCATCCGGCACTCCCCAAAACCTAAGCTTGCTGGTAAGGCATAGGGCCTAAGGCCGGGGTGACGGCAAACGGTCTCCAAAAAAACGTGCTGGAGTCTGAGGCCTCCGGCGGATCCCCATGCCAAGTTACCTTGTAGGGGGGTGCCTTCTTTAGTTGTGGGGTTTATAGGGAGTTAGTGCAGTCCCTCATCCATCAAGAGCAGCTTCACGTCAAAAAGGGTAAAAGAGGGCTCGGAGATGGTCGGAGTAACTGCTCAGACTAAACCCGAATGGCCCCCATTTTATGATACTAGAATAACCCCCCAAAACCCTATGCTGATGATGCCCCAAACCCTAAACCCCAAACCCCAAACCCTAAGTATTTTATCCCTAAACCTTAAAGCCTTAAACCCTCGAGAGTGAGCGACTAAACCCTAAACCGTTGGCTTAAGCCAGCACCCTGAAGGAAAAAAAGGGTTTAGGGTTTAGGGTTTAGGGACTGCGGCAGAAGTCGCCCCATAAACCTTACGAGGCTGAGGTTTTTTCAGGGTGGAGCACACCAGAAAAGAAAAGGGCTTCTGCAACTTCTGCTAGAACCTCGAAAGACCACACCTTGGTAGTAGAGTAGGTAACCTTGAACCTTTTTCGGGCGACTCTGACCCCTACAAGCACCCAAAAGGTTAACCTTTAGTTCTCCTAGGATGCTGGACAATTAAGGGTCCAGGGTTTCGGGTTTAGGGTTTAGGGCACCCTAAACCCGAAGCCCAGGATGATCCTCCTCCTCGCCTTGCTTGGCCATGCTTGGGCGGCCGAGCAGTGCAGTGTTGTACCGCTACATCGAGGCACGCTTCGGGGGTGGTTTAGGGTTTAGGGGGTGTTCGGGGTTGAGAAGGCAGAAGGCTGTGCTCCCGAGAGACCTTACAGCAAAGCTCCTTCCCAGGTTCGGTATGACAATACACTGTCAAAATCTGCTAGCAACATCATGAAGTCTTATCGTTATCATCATCACTGCTATGAAATTATTGTATGGCATTTCTGAATGTCATTACCTCTCTCTCGCTCGATGGATTTCGGGAGAGAGAGAGAGAGAGCCCCAGCTGGGAGTCACACGCACTGCAAGCAAGCAAGCAAGCCGCTGCTTAAACCCGAAGAGCTTTGGTTCGGAACACCATGGTCCGGCGCAGGATGCGATCCCCGTGGCGGGGTTCTTGTTCGAGAGTTGCCTCTCGCAGCTGCTTGCCTCTTGAGGTTCAGGGTTTAGGGTTTAGGGTTTAGGGTGTAGGGTTTAGGGTTTAGGGTTTGGTTCGGAAGGGGCCGAAGGACTGTGTTCCTTGCCAGTCCGCGGCTAAGGGGCCTAGGGTTATGGAGGCTTGTTCAGGCTGTCTTCAGAAAGCCTGATGCGCTGGCAAAGTAAACCCTAAACCCTAAACCCTAAACCGCTAGGAGGCTCGGAGCTCAGGGTGCGAAATAAAGAGAACATTGACATGTCCGGTCCCACGAGGAGTGCACGACGACGACGACCACCACATCGACACTCGGGCCTGCTTGGCTACTCCTGGTTTAGGGTTTAGGGTTTAGGGTTTGGGGTTTGGGGTTTGGGGTTTAGGGTTTGGGGTTTGGGGTTTAGGGCTTAGGGTTTATTATCAAACATCCCCCCATATCTTTATTCCCCTTGGGGATTATCTTTTTAGTTTTTTGTTTATATAAAACCCAAGAGGATACGTATTATAGATATTATGTTGATCAAGGTTCTAAGGGGAGGATAGAAATATTATCATTTGACCAAAACGTGTATTTAATATTGCGGGGTCGGGGGGTTTTAACATTAGGGGGGAGGGGATTAGGTGTAATACAAGGGGTCGGAATACTTGCCAGTGTTATTCCCTTAGGGTCCCTGTATACTTATACTATACTAACCCCCAAAACCTATTCTGATTATAATTATCAAGGCCCCTACATTATGTCTCCAGGGTTATGGAACGTCGTTCAGGACAAGGCTACCGTAAAACCCTAAGCCCTAAACCTCACAAAAGCGGATTCGTGGACAGAAATCCAGAAGACCCTAAACCCCAAACCCCAAACCCCAAACCCCAAACCCTAAACCCTAAACCCTAAACCCTAAACCCTAAACCCTAAACCCTAAACCTTAAACCCTAAACCCTAAACCCTAAACCTTACAATAGCGGATTCGCAGCCAGAAAGCCAGAAGAAGTGAGGATCACCACCACTTCTTCTGCGACCACGTCCAGCTCTACCGCAAGCAGCCCCTGAGCTGATTCTAGGGTTTAGGGGTTTAGGTTTTAGGGCTTGGGGTTAGGGTTTAGGGTTTAGGGTTTGGGGTTTAGGGTTTAGGGTTTAGGGACAGATACGCTTCGAGTACCTTCGGGGCTTTCGAGCGCTCCGAAAGTTGCAGAAAACCCCGGGGGCTGCGCAGGATCGAAGAGAACCCTGAGCCTCAGGTGCGGGAGAGGCCTCGACCCCCTGAACCCTAAACCCTGAACCCCAAACCCCAAACCCCAACCCCAAACCCCAAACCCCAAACCCCAAACCCCAAACCCCAAACCCCAAACCCCAAACCCCAAACCCCAAACCCTAAACCCTAAACCCTAAACCCTAAATCCCTATTCCTACACCCTAAACCCGAAAGCCTCGGCCCACTTAACCCTTGGTCCCTGAACCAGGACCCGTTGGTCACCGAAACCCTGAAAGCCCTTGCCGGGGCCCTTCGGGTCACCCTGCCATACCCTGGGTTTAGGGTTTAGGGTTGGGGTTTAGGGTTTAGGGTTTAGGGTTTAGGGTTTAGGGTTTAGGGTTTAGGGTTTAGGGTTTGGTGTTTGCTTGGGGTTTGGGGTTTGGGGTTTGGGGTTTGGGGTTTGGGGTTTGGGGTTTGGGGTTTGGGGTTGGGGGTTTGGTGTTTGGGGTTTGGGGTTTGGGGTTTGGGGTTTGGGGTTTGGGGTTTGGGGTTTGGGGTTTGGGGTTTGGGGTTTGGGGTTTGGGGTTTAGGGTTTAGGGTTTAGGGTTTAGGGCAAGCCTGCCAAGCCTTGGGCTCCAAACCCGGGTACCGGGCTTCCGCGCCCAGGTTCGACCTCCCGGACCAGGACACAGACATCCTGGACCTCGACCCGCACTAGCAGCCTCCCGCTTGCGTGCTTTCTGCCCTGCGGGCTTTAGGGTTTGGGGTTTGGGGTTTGGGGTTTTGGGTTTGGGGTTTGGGGTTTGGGGTCTGGCTTGGGGTCTGGGATTCCCTCTGGCTTCCCAGCGACCAGTCCAGGCTGGGTTCCGAAAAGAAGGAACAGGGGTTTGAGGGAACCAGAGGTGGACTGAAGTCATGAGCTGCCTCGGGGCGAAGTATATTGATCGTCTTGGTCTCACAGTCAAGGTTCAACTACCTCGACAACAACCTCCTTATCGGCCACGTCAACATCCGTAACTGGGACGACTGTCAGTATGACCTCGAGCACATCATCCTCCAGCACCTCTTCCTCTACTGCATCAACTGCGACGTCCACGTCCTCGAGCCTGACAAGCAGCTCGCAAACCCATACTGCCACCAGCATGACGACCAGCTCTAGCACATCGACGTCTACAGCCACGGCTACATCAACAGCCACAACAGAGTCGACGACAAGCAGCACGGCCACCGCAAGCACAACCACAACCAAGACCGCCACCAGCATGACAACGTCCACGTCCAGCACAACATCCTCAACCTCAACAACAGGTACGGCGACAACGCTTACGCATACGTCTAGCACCAGCAGCCAGACAACCAGCACGATGACCACGCAAACCGCAACAACCAGCACCAGCAAGACGGTGTCTACCACCACAGTCACCACCACCTCACGGACTGCCACAACTACTGTCAGCGCCACAAGTTCCATCACATCCACAAGTGCCACTATCACTAGTAGCATCTCAACAAGCATTTCTACCACCAGCAGGACTTCCTCCATGACGACAAGCTCAAGCGCAACCTCAACCACATCCCTGTCCAGCACGACATCAGCAACAGCGACCACATCCACAAGTACCTCAGGCACTTTAACAAGTACCTCAGGCACATCTACCATAACATCGAGTACTACAGAAACCTCCACAAGCTCAGTTTCCAGCACGACATCAGTGACGACAACCGAAAGCAGCACTACAATTTCCAGAACCTCGACGTCCACAAGTACTTCAGGGACATCCACCATCACGACCAGCTCAACCGCAACCTCGAGCACAACGTCAGGTACTACAACAAGCTCCAGAACCTCGACGTCCACAAGTACTTCAGGGACATCCTCCACTACGTCAAGTACGACGGCAAGCTCATCAACATCTATCTCCAGCACCACGTCAGGCACAACAACTGAAAGCAGCACCACAAGTTCCAGAACTTGGACGTCCACCAGCACTACAGAGACATCCACCATCACGACAAGTTCCACTGGAACCTCCACAACATCTATTTCCAGTACGACGTCACGCACAACAACAAGAAGCAGCACCTTTACTTTTACAACTTCGACTTCCACAAGCAGCTCCAGCACGTCAACAGCGACAGCAACTTCAACTATGACCTCCACAACCTCTATTTCCAGCACGACATCAGTGACATTTACAACTTCCAGAACCTCGACGTCCACAAGTACTTCAGGGACATCCACCATCACGACAAGCTCAACCGCAACCTCGAGCACAACGTCAGGTACAACAACAAGCTCCAGAACCTCGACGTCCACAAGTACTTCAGGAACATCCTCCACTACGTCAAGTACGACGGCAAGCTCATCAACATCTATCTCCAGCACCACGTCAGGCACAACAACTGAAAGCAGCACCACAAGTTCCAGAACTTGGACGTCCACCAGCACTACAGAGACATCCACCATCACGACAAGTTCCACTGGAACCTCCACAACATCTATTTCCAGTACGACGTCACGCACAACAACAAGAAGCAGCACCTTTACTTTTACAACTTCGACTTCCACAAGCAGCTCCAGCACGTCAACAGCGACAGCAACTTCAACTATGACCTCCACAACCTCTATTTCCAGCACGACATCAGTGACATTTACAACTTCCAGAACCTCGACGTCCACAAGTACTTCAGGGACATCCACCATCACGACAAGCTCAACCGCAACCTCGAGCACAACGTCAGGTACAACAACAAGCTCCAGAACCTCGACGTCCACAAGTACTTCAGGAACATCCTCCACTACGTCAAGTACGACGGCAAGCTCATCAACATCTATCTCCAGCACCACGTCAGGCACAACAACTGAAAGCAGCACCACAAGTTCCAGAACTTGGACGTCCACCAGCACTACAGAGACATCCACCATCACGACAAGTTCCACTGGAACCTCCACAACATCTATTTCCAGTACGACGTCACGCACAACAACAAGAAGCAGCACCTCTACTTTGACATCTTCGACTTCCACAAGCAGCTCCAGCACGTCAACAGCGACCGCAACTTCAAGTATGACCTCCACAACCTCTATTTCCAGGACGACATCAGTGACAACAACCGCAAGCAGCACTACAATCTCCAGAACCTCGACGTCCACTAGTACTTCAGAAACATCCACCATCACGACAAGCTCAACCGCAACCTCAACAACATCCCTGTCCAGCACGACATCAGCAACAGCAACCACAAGCAGCAGCACAAGTTCCACAACTTGGACGTTCACAAGTACCTCAGGCACATCCACCATCACAACAGTCACCGTTACAACCTCCACCAGATCCACATCAATAACAACAACTCGCACGACTTTTACCATCACAAGCTCTGCGACTAGCACTGCGACAAGCACTTTAACAAGTACCTCAGGCACATCTACCATGACATCGAGTAGTACAGCAACCTCCACAAGCTCAGTTTCTAGCACGACATCAGTGACAACAACCGAAAGCAGCACCACAAGTTCCAGAACGCGGACGTCTACCAGTACCTCAGAGACATCCACCATCACGACAAGTTCAACTGCAACCTCTACAACATCCATGTCGAGCACGACGTCAGTCACAACAACCGAAAGCAGCACTACAATTTCCAGAACCCAGACATCCACCAGTGCTTCAGGGACATCCACCATGACGACCAGCTCAACCGCAACCTCGAGCGCAACGTCAGGTACAACAACAAGCTCCAGAACCTCGACGTCCACAAGTACTTCAGGGACATCCTCCACTACGTCAAGTACGACGGCAAGCTCATCAACATCCATCTCCAGCACCACGTCAGGCACAACAACTGAAAGCAGCACCACCAGTTCCAGAACTTGGACGTCCACCAGCACTACAGAGACATCCACCATCACGACAAGTTCCACTGGAACCTCCACAACATCTATTTCCAGTACGACGTCACGCACAACAACAAGAAGCAGCACCTCCACTTTCACAACTTCGACTTCCACAAGCAGCTCCAGCACGTCAACAGCGACCGCAACTTCAAGTATGACCTCCACAACCTCTATTTCCAGGACGACATCAGTGACAACAACCGCAAGCAGCACTACAATCTCCAGAACCTCGACGTCCACTAGTACTTCAGAAACATCCACCATCACGACAAGCTCAACCGCAACCTCAACAACATCCCTGTCCAGCACGACATCAGCAACAGCAACCACAAGCAGCAGCACAAATTCCGCGACTTGGACGTCCACAAGTACCTCAGGCACATCCACCATCACAACAGTCACCGTTACAACCTCCACCAGATCCACATCAATAACAACAACTCGCACGACTTTTACCATCACAAGCTCTGCGACTAGCACTGCGACAAGCACTCTAACAAGTACCTCAGGCACATCTACCATGACATCGAGTAGTACAGCAACCTCCACAAGCTCAGTTTCTAGCACGACATCAGTGACAACAACCGAAAGCAGCACTACAATTTCCAGAACCTCGACATCCACCAGTACTTCAGAGACAGCCACCATCACGACGAGCTCAACTGCAACCTCAACAACATCCCTGTCCAGCACGACATCAGCAACAGCAACCACAAGCAGCAGCACAAATTCCGCAACCTCGACGTCCACAAGTACCTCAGACACATCCACCATCACGACAAGTTCCACGACGAGCTCCACCATCTCCGTTTCCAGCACGACGTCAGACACATTAACACAGAGCAGCACCACAAGCTCAAGAACCCTGACGTCCAGCAGTACGTCAGGTACATCGACAAGTACAACGAGCACAACTGCAACCTCTACGACATTCACTTCGAGCACGACCTCGGGCACAACAACTGAAAGCAGTACCACAAGTTCCAGAACCTGGACGTCTACAAGTACCTCAAGCACATCCACCATCACAACAATGACCGCGACAACGTCGACCTCATCTACATCCGTCACAGTGACTGGCACAACTACGACAAGCACAGTCAGCCGGACAAGCACCACAACTTTGACCTTGACGACGACTTCGGGCACGTCCACCCTGACATCCAGCCGCACCGCAACTTCTACAACATCCACGTCGATATCTACATCGAGCACAGCAACTACCAGCGCGACAACAACTTCGACATCCACCAGCCACACTTCCACGAGCACCTCCGCCACATTCACCTCGACGACCTCAGTCTCCATCACAGCCACGAGCTCCACAAGCGCCACCTCCACGAGCAGCACGGGCACATCCTTGACTTCCACGACCAGCAGAAGCACATCTACAACAAGCACAGGAACCACAAAGACTGCCACCTCCACCACCGAAACATCAACATCCAGTGCCTCCACAACCACCTCATCCTCAACAGCCACCCGTACGTCCCAGACCTCCACCAGCAGTACAGTGACGTCCACATCACGGACTCATACAACGTCGACGACAACATCCGTGACCACGACAACAACGTCGCGCACCACCAGCACAATCACCACCACAACCCTGACCACGACAGCCACAACGACCCGGTCGACAACCAGTACGTCGGACAGCACCACCACAACTGCCAGCACAACAGCCACTGGAACCGAAGCTTGGTAGCCCAGTGGTACCCTTCACTTTTTTTTTTTTGCTTATGGGTTCCCTAAAAATAGTAGCCAGCCCCAAAAACAGGGTGCCCTTTAGCATGATAGGGTCACTGGGCCACCAAGGAAACAACGGCGACGCAAACAGCCTCGACTTCGACTTCGAGCTCCAGCTCCCGGACAGCCTCGACGTCCAGCTCGACGAGCTCCTCTTCCAGCAGCTTCTTAGCTTGAAGGAAGGGGCTTAGGGCGTAGGGCTTAGGGCTTAAGGTTTTTTTTTAGGGTTTAGGTTTTTTAGGGTTTTCAGGGTTTAGGGTTCAGGGTTTAGGGTTTAGGGTGTTGCCCAGCTTAAAGGAAGAGGCTGGGGCTAGTTGGCCTTTAACCTTGTTGTGGTTGTACATGATTTGTTTTTTGGCAAACAAGCAGTGAACCTTTTTGGGCTAGGGTATTCAGCCCCTAAGATGAAGGAAGGCGCCTTAGGTCGCATTTTGCCTTTGCGCTTGCGTGTGTCATGCCGGCACGTGCTTGGCAGAGAGACAAGCGTTGGTAAGACTGTGAAATCTGTCAAGGTTCGGACACTACAAGCACGACAGCAAGCACTAGTACCAGCCGCAGCGGCTTGCCTCATAACATTTCTGCCCGGAACGCTTGAGCGGCTTGCATTTTCAAGCTGCGCAGGAGTTAAGGGGTTTAGGGGTTTAGAGGGGTTTAGGGGGGTTTAGGGGGGTTTAGGGGGGTTTAGGGGGGTTTAGGGGGGTTTAGGGCTTTCGGGCTATTCTGGGAAGGCAGCACTACTACATCCAGCACCTCCAGCACGACAACCACCAGCAGTGCCCTTGACGAATGGGGTGGGGGGTTTGGCAGAAGTGCACGAGCTGTTGGACCTTGGTGGAAGTGGTTTAGGGTTTAGGGTTTAGGGTTTAGGGTTTAGGGTTTAGGGTTTAGGGTTCCCCCCCCCCAGCGATTTTGGCAAGTAGTCCAACCCTAGGTTGCTGAGGAACAGCGAGTTATGTACATTCAACTTGTCACCTTGAGTCAGCTCGTTGCACGTGGCGTGCCGTTGCAAGGTTCACTGACCTGCATGACTACTATTTGCACAGAAGATGATGTTGTGTTCTTTTTCGGGGTTCCTAAGCAAAAAGCCGACAGCGCCTGCGTGGTTAAACCACAGGGACTCTCGTGGTTTAGTTGTTCTGGCCTGGCAACAGGGAGGTCCATATGCAATAAAGCAAGGGCGAAGTCGCGACTACTATAGGGGCCTGAAGAATCAGAATAGGATTTGGGGGGGGGGGGGGGGAATTTATTCTAGTGCAATTATATAGGGACCATAAGGGAATACTAGTAGTATTTATTCCGACCCCTATATTAGATTTCTCTTACGCTCTTTGAGACTTTGTAAACACCCCACATGGGGGATCTTAGGGTAGAAGGTGCACACAGAAGGCTCAGATGTTCGAAATTGTTCACAGTTGCGAAAACGGGGGGGGGGGCGTTTTAGCTGTCTGAGTAGTAGTATTTCACGCTCCAAAATTGTTGGTCTGCATGATTCAGGAAATCCGGTGCTTTGCTAGTTGAAACAAACAGTTGTCCAAAAACTCCCGAAACATCGTTTCAGACTGTCTTTCAACGAAAAGCTTGGCGGGGGCGTTAGTGTAGGAGCCATCCTCTTAGCAAAGTTGTGCAGCGAATGTGTAGGATGGGCATCCCACCAGGATGTGAAACGAAAGAGTAAACTCCCACCTAACTCCCATCACAGTAATTAAATGTTATCCATCATCGTGGCCTGTGTTCAAGAATGTTCAAGAACTTTCAAGTGTCGCGAAATGTTAGTTTGGCTTGTCTGCTTGGCGGGCGTGAAAACAAACCCTGCCTTTAACCCTAAAACCCTAAAACCCCATAAACCCCATACCCTATGAACCCTAAACCCTCTAAACCCTACCAGACCCTAAAAGAGGTGCGCCTCCCTTCACCTGGTGCCGCCGGTTCTGGGGCGGTATTCCAGCAGAGCCCAGCTGCCAGGCCCGCGAGGAGGAGGCTTCCGATGGGGGGAGGGTCTGTGGCTCAGAGGCAAGGGTTTAGGGTTTAGGGTTTAGGGTTTAGGGTTTAGGGTTTAGGGTTTAGGGTTTAGGGTTTAGGGAACAAGTGGGAGCGAACGCGAGACTTTGTGGGCGCAATGCTGACTGCAGACCTGCCAAAGAAGTCACGAAGAAGCCCTGAACCTTAAACCCTATAAACCCTAAACCCTAAACCATGCATGGGATCTCGGGCTTCTGATGCACTCTTCTCTCTCGTGACTCTCGCGTGGTCCTCCGAGCGCGGATCCTCACCCTAGATTTAGAAAAACACCTAGTCTAAATTCCTTGTGGGCCGGGATTCCCCAGCCTGAGGCCATCTGTGCTCAGACTCGTTTTGTTTCACCCTTCGGGTTCAGGGTTTACAGCTGCAACAAAAGAGAGCCAAACTTGTAGGCTCGCTGGGGCCCGCAGGACTGGTGCATCGCGCCGGCAGGGACGTCGCAGCGCGCATGCGATGGACAGACGACACAGGGCAGGCAGTTTGGGGCTTTGAGGGCTGGTTTTGGGCACACTGAAGTTTATCAATGTTTGGTGAGTTTGGTGGTGTCTGGGGGGCTTGGTGCTTCATTTCCCGGAACTCATGGAATGAAGGGCTTTGGGCGGGGAGGGCGGATGACTGTCGGATTTTGAGCTTTGAGCGGAAGAGGGGCTGTTGGCTCCAAATCCCGGTGCACTCTAAGTTCTATGGGCCCTTAATATTGACATGGTCCCTTACCCGCGTTAACGTGTGATGTATGGGCCCTTGGGCTGTATAGGGTGAAACAAGGGGCCCTCTTTTAAGAGCCCATACTAAGGGACCAAGAAACTACCCCAGGATGAACTTAAATGGCGTTGAGGGGGTGAGAGTTGAATCCTGAAGGAAGATGTGAGGTCAACACATCTGCACTAGTTGGAAGCAGAACCCCTGGAGCTGCAGACCCCCTAAACCCTAAACCCCAAACCCCAACTGCAATCCCCTCCCCTTAAACCGTAAGGATCCCATCCTAAAAACCCTGGAGGTTGCTTTGTCCTGCCGCCACGTCGGCGCCTGCGAGCTCAGCGCATTCCTGCGAGACCTGCGCCACAGTGTCACTTTGCGGAAGACGTTTGGAGCCTATGTAGGGTTTGGGGTTAGGGTTTAGGGTTTAGGGTTTAGGGTTCCATTATCCTGCCCATAAGAAGGCACCTGGAGGAGCCCAACGGAGGCGCAGTGGGCTACAGCCTGTCTGGCGAGGTGCGCTGGGGCCCCAATGCGAGCTGCGAGGTTGATGAGTCCGGCATCGACGGATACCAAGCGCCTTTGCCCGACTTGGGTGTGGGAGGGCTCGGGGGCTCAGGGCTTAGGGGAGCCCTAAACCCCGAGCCCTAAACCCGAACCTTTCTGAAAGCTAGACTCGAGGCATGTGCCTTTTTGGGGGGCATTCAAGAAACTGACCAGGTGTGGCTGGTGAATGACTGCGGCGATCAGCTCGAGCTGGTGGGCAGTGTGGTCAAGAAAGAAAGCTGGAGCCTGGAGATGTTGACCTGCTGCGGTCCATCTTGGTATCTCAGTAGTAGAGTCGGTAGCCTTTAACCTTGGTAACATCATGCCCTGAGAATCCCAAAGGTTAACCTTTAGTTCCCCTAGGCACTGGACAACTAAGGTATGCTGTGTACTTGAAGCCCACGGAGGTGTCGACCGAGGCCACGGCCTTCGCAATCACCCCGTATCGAGGCTCTCAAGTCTTCAGGGCAGCAACTTTGCCACTACTGCAGCGCACCATGACGACCATCAGCAGCACCACCTGGACCGATGTCTCTGCCTGAATAGGGCTTGTGGGTTTAGGGTGTAGGGTTTAGAAGTGCCGGGTGAGTTATGATTAAGATTCGGGGTTCGTGGGGCGCGGTATTCGTTTTAGATCTTCTTGCTACCTGGTCGGCATGTCGGATTGCCCGGCAAAGGAATAACCACTGCCTGGAACCACCTCAATACTCCACACAGCCAACAACAGATGTTGGGGGGGGGGGGGGTTGTAGGGGGGTTGGGCAATGAGCAGCAACAAACAGGACAGTCCTCAATCCGGAAGCAACCCCGCCTGCAAAGAAACCTAGACCCTAAATCGCAAATCCCTCTCCCTCGTCATTCGTTTTATTGAAAATTGCATGTCCCCTTCTTTAGGAGGCGCAAGCCCTTCCCTTTTTGGTTGTAGTAGGGAGTTGGGGAATTCAGGTTCCGTAGATCATCGCTGAAATGCTTACTTAAAGGATATAAGGTGCCCTAATTCCCCCATACGAGCCAGCAAGCTTGGCGGCAGGACCACGTCAACGTTCACGGACTTGACCCTCGGTTGAGGGTTGCTGTTTTTTTCCTTGTTTTCGGGCTTCGGGTCTTGTTTAGGTGTTGTTTGTGACCTTGGCCCTCCTCTTCTGTGGTGAGGGGAGAAGGGTCTTGCACCGGGCCGCGTAGTCCCACAATTCTCGTCATATTCTCGTGAATAACACAAGGAAACCAAGGCATTGTAAGGTCACCACGCTACACTTCATGGACTAGCTCCGATGCAAGTTCACCACCGGTTTTGCACTCCATCGCACATCAGGGCCTAGAAGCTGCATGTCAGCTGATCCTTCCTGCTCTCTCCTCTTCAAAGATCATCCCACGTGATTCTTTAGGCTTGCGGGGCGGGAGAGGGGGGTGAGAAGTCGAAGTCACTCGGCTGTTCCGTCTGACGTTTCAGAGAGTGGTCGGTTGGGACGACGTTGGGAGTTGATCCAACATTGGGTTGTTCATGTTGTTCTCATTGCCCTAAGCCTTATAAGCCCTAAACCCGGGCTTTGGGACTTCGAGGAACCCGGTCCGCGTGGATGGCTGCGTTGGCTTTGCCACGCCGGATACGGCTGCGCTCCTTGGCATGGACAGGTCCTGAAGTCCCTACAAGGAGCCTACGGCCCTAGTGCCCACCAAAACCCCTGAACTTAAAAGCCGCAAGCCCTGAAAGCTTTTTTTGGGACAGTTTAGGATTTAATTAAGTGATTCTGGGGCTCATGGTGCTGAGATGATGCCTTTGCGCGGCTTCAGTCGACACACGTGGGTTGATAGGGCTGGGGGGGGCGCTAGAAACAGGGTTAAGGGTTTAGGGTATAGTATGGGTATAGGGTTCAGGGTTCAGAGTTGGTTACATGGTTTGGGGTCCCCCCGCCCCTCCCCCCGCCGCGCGCGGCCGCGACACGTGCCGACGCATCACCATGCGCCACCGCGCCGCGACGTGAGATGCCTGCAATCATCCGCTTGAATACACTCTTCGGGGCTTCGGCCTTGTAAATCCTGTTCCGGTTGACCCTAAGTGCCAAAAGCCCCGCGTACGGCCCTCAGATCAATCACGCAGCAGGAGTCCCAGCTTCTAAGAGCCCGAAGCCCTGGGAAAGTCCGAGGTTTGAAGAGAACACCGAGCTGGTGGCACAGGCAACGTCTAAGAGGGTTTAGGGTTTAGGGTTTAGTTTAGGGTTTAGGGTTTAGGGTTTAGGGTTTAGGGTTATGAGGGTTTAGGGGGGGGGGGGTAAACGGTTGCAGACACAACCCTGAACACCCCTGAACACCAACATTGAGCTTCATTGGGTGGATGGGTAGGACGGATAAAGCCCAGAATCCCTGAAGCGCAGTCGTAAGCTCTGCTCTCCTTCCCTTAGGGTTTAGGGCTTAGGGTTTAGGGAAATGGAGCCCTGCAGTACAGCCTGGGACAGCCTCAGAACCCTCAACCTTGCCAGGTCATTCAGGAGGTGGTGGCTTCGGCAGCGGGTCCTGATATCCATCCAGAGTATGTGCGCCCAGGGGGGAAGGCTTCAAGGTTTGGTGAAGGTGCAGCATGGGTTTTGACGGCTTCCAGAGGCCAACCCGTGCTCACCTGCCCACGCTGAGTCATGATGAGTAAGAGAAGCCACCCTAAACCCCCAAGAAAATCCAGCTCCGTGCCATGTCCCTGACAAGCGTGTGGGGATGTGACAGGTCCAGGATGTGACGATGCGAGTCGGCAGCTGCCTTTCTGCAGTTCTGCAAGTGACGAGGCAAGGGAGCAGGGCTGAAAAGCTTTTATAACCCAAGTCCCAGAAAAAAAGACAAGGGGAGGAATCCATGCAGCTGAGAGGGCGCTTTGGGGAATCCTTATGATCTCACGGTTGCATCGTCCAACATTAGGGTTCCCTTGTCGTTTTGTTTTTAGGAGGAGTACAGTGGGGGCCGTGTGGCTGAATCCAGACTTCTGCCCCCACAACCACATGTCTTAATTTAATTCGTTCGCACCATGAATGTTCATGTCTTCCGAAAACTCCAAATAACCCTGATCCATGAATCTCAACGCCAGGCGGCTGCAAGAAGTGCTCTCGTACACCTACGTGCCGTGGCTGGCAGTTTGGGTCGGGCTTGGATGGGTTTGTTCGTGCTTTGCAAGGTAAGGGAACCTCTTTGCGCTTGCTAGCCTCTTAAAAAAGCAACCTGTATGACTCTACGACATTTGTATTTCTAAACCCTAAACCCTAAACCCTAAACCCTAAACCCTAAACCCTAAACCCTAAACCCTAAACCCTAAACCCTAAACCCTAAACCCTAAACCCTAATCCTAAACAATTATCATGTTTAAAGAAACCAAGTTCGCCCCGAGGTCATCGTCATTCCTCCCTTCGTGCCCAACAGGGAGACCGTGGCCCGAGCTGCGAGCGTGCAGCTGGAAGAGCGCCCCGGATATTTCAGGGGATTCAAAGGGCCCATGGGTATTGCTAACCTTGTTTGGGCTTCCTAAACCCTATAAGCCCTAAAACCCTAAATTGCCTTGCCGGCCGTGTGCGAGTGTGAGAGTCGAAAACCCTAAATTTTGACCCTAAACCCTAAACTAAACCCTGAACCCTTGCGGTTCGCCCCGCTCCGCAGGAGGGAGAAAAGAAACCCCCTAAACCCCTAAACCGTAAACCCCTACACCCCTAAACCCTAAATCTAGGGGAGCCGTGAAGTTGGGCATGTTTATGTCCTTGAGGACAAGAAGGGATGGGGGACTTCTGTTGCCCTTCCCTCGTTCATTCTCCATACTCCTGCCGTGTCCTTGTCTGAAGAGAGAAGCAAAGAGAAGAGAACAGGAGACAAAAGAGGAAGAAGAGGATGGCATGGGAGAAGGATCTAGAAACAAGTACATGACACGACGAAACGAGGAAGTATAGGTAGAAGGAGAGCACTTGCAGTTGTTTTACAATTTCCTCTCTCTCTCTCTCTCTCTCTCTCTCTGTTCTTGAAGGAAGAAGCCTTAGCTTCAAGGAATTTCAAGGAAGGAGAATGGGAGAGAGAGAGAGAGAGCGCCAGGGCTAGTTCCACAATATTCTCAAAACAAGAGAACCGAGAGTAGCAGAGTTTTCGCTCAGAAAGCATCAGCCCAACCGGCTTAGAGTTCCGCTGCAGAGGCATTGCGACGGATTGCCTGATGCCCTCCCGAGGGGATCACTGTGTTGCATGATTATGATATAATTGTATGGAATGATATATACTTGTAGATTATTATATATAATTATATACAATTATATATAATTCTATATAAGCATATATAGTTATAGAAAATTTTATATATATAATTAGATATAGTTCACATGCTTAAACACAACGGCTGCTTCAGGGCACAGCACCAAGACAGTTCCTGCGGTCTTGCCCGACCGCCGACCCGCTAGGCTTCCCTTGGAGCAAGCAACGGAGCTGGTCAATCGGGAGATCCAGAGGCATGCGCCGCTGGCCGCTCGCCCTTGACAGAAATTTAGAGGTTTTGGGTTGTGGGCTTGAGGCGGGGCCCTAAACTTCCCGCTGTTGGCATGCCCAGTGAAGTTGGGCTGGCATGGGCTCTGGGCCAAGCTTCCGCGCAAGCTCTAATGTAGCATGCGGGAGGTAACAACCTGTGTGCCACAAGGCAAATGCCACGGTGACTGTGCAAACCTTCCAGCTCAACGTGTTCACGACGCTCGGCATGCGGAATGCAAAGCGCCAATGCCAAGGTCTTGTACAGATTCCATGGTTCTGTGACGTTTTCTAAAGCCACGTGTCCTGTAATCCTTTGAAGGCTAGTTCAGCGCAAAGCCTGTCACATCTTCCAATTCGTTTTCGGTGTAGTCCGAGAATGTCTCGTCTCCCGGGGCCGCATTTGTCCGACTTAAGTTGTGGCGCTTGCAAGTTGCAAGCGCCTCAGGCAAGTCCGCGGTACTGCGTTTTGCATCGTCTTAGCAGCTGGAAGTTTTGGGCTTCGGGCCTTGCGCTCAGGACAACAGTGACCGTGACCAGCACTACTGCTACTACCAGCACCATTACGACACCCGCCGAGCCAGCTGCTTCTGTGCCGGTGGACGTCATCATCGCCGCGGTGATCGTGCTGATTTGCCTGTGCGCACTGTGCTTTGTGCTGCTGCCCGGCACAATTAGGGTTTAGGGTTTAGGGTTTAGGGTTTAGGGTTTAGGGTTGAAAGTCTCAATTATCCATAGCCCCTTTTGCCCGTGACATCGGGACCTGCCTCAGTGTGGTTTCGTGTGGTTTGGGAACCCTAAACCCTAAACCCTAGAACAAGAGAAGAGACCCCTTTTGCTTCATGGGCCACCACTTGCCCTAAACCCAAAACCCTGAGGCCTTACTGGCCCTGTTTTCCCAAGAATCCTAGGGATGGGTGAAGCAGCAACCTGCACAGGGTTTAGGGTTTGGGGCTGTTCAGGTATAACCCACACACTATACCCTATACCCTATACCCTAAACCCTACACCCTAAACCCTAAACCCTAAACCGAATGGGTCTAGGCTCTACCGGCGGCACCTGAGACGCCGGGCGCGGTCCCCAAGCCAAGTGACGCAGAGGGTGTGATCTAACTCTCGTGCCCTTTGGGCATGGAGTTGAGGGTTTGTAGGGTTTGTAGGGTTTAGGGTTTAGGGAAAGTTGTTCAGGGCTCCGGAATCTAGGTGCAGACAAGAAGCTGTGACCAAGATTTGGACAGAACACTCAACTGTCAAGGGTAACCAATTTGCAGAATCATGCGATCTTCTTGGAAGTCGTGGTTGCTCCATCATTTCCATCTTTAAGGTAGTAGTGACTTAGTAGTGATTGTGAAGGGCTTGCTGCAAAAGCAGGAGACTCGCGATGATTCTCCCCCAGCGTTGGAGGCGGCGAGGGCCGAAAGAACCTAACTAGGGGGGTTAGGGGGTTTAGGTTTGGATGTTCCCCCTAAAAAAACAGTCCTGGATAGGGAATCGTACTAGGGGGTACTCTACTCCCTATTGAGGACTGTCAGTATAAGGGGGAAGGGCTGATGAGGTAGGATTCCTCTGAGCATTTAGGCTTGGGGCTTTGGGGAACTTGCGAATGGGTCCAACCTGAAGCCAAAAAACGACTGCGCGGTCTCCTCTCAGGTTGCATGGAACGTACTAGGGTTTACGGGTTTAGGGCTTAGGATGAAGGGTTTAGGGTTTAGGGTTTAGGGTTTAGGACCTTATAAACCCTAAACCCTAACCCTGAATACTATAGTGAAGCCAGGCCAATCCAAGCCCCGGCTACGAATTGCGGCGCCGTTGAATGCGCCTGCGGGGCCCCTGTTCCTCGAGCTTTCATGGAATCGGGGCCCCGCGAAACACTAAGCCCTTCGAAGCCCTTACCCCATGAGGTTTAGGGTTTACTGGTAGGGTTTAGGGCTTAGAGGGCTTAGGGGTTTCTAAACACTGGCTTTTGCTGTCTGGAGGAGCCAGAGGCAGAGAAGGAGCTCGACGCCGAAATGGTCGAGGAAGTGGAGGCAGAGACTTAATAACCTTAATTCCAAGACTCAAAGTACGATGATCCTTAAATGTTGCAACCTCTCAAATGAGTAGCCTACAGAACCATACCTTCCAAGCGTCCCAAAACCCCGAAAGGACCCTAAAACGCCCGAAAGACCCTCTTTCAAGCTTATTAACCCCCCCCCCCCCCCCCCCAAAAAAAAAAAAAAAAAAAACGCCCGCGACCTGGCCCCGCCCACTTGGAGCTTCATGGGTAGTTATAAGTAGGGTTATAAGTACCCTAAATGGAGTTACAAGTGTAGTTACCATGTTTGTAAGTCTACTTATAAGTACCCTAAACCCTAAACCCTAAACCCTAAACCCTAAACCCTAAACCCATGAACCTCCAAGCAGGTGTTCTTTGGTGATGAAGTCGGGCAGATCGCCCAGACACTCGAGGCGCACGCGGTCTGGAGCAAAAGGTTTCTAGGGCTTAGGGTTTAGGGATTGGGGGTTTAGGGTTTAGGGTTTAGGGTTTAGGGTTTAGGGTTTAGGGTTTAGGGATTGGGGGTTTCGGGTCAGTTTCTAGGGCTTAGGGTTTAGGGATTGGGGGTTTCGGGTCAGGGTTTGGGGCTTATAGGAAAAGGGTTTAGGATTTGTAGGGCTTATGGGGCTTGTGGGGCTTCTTGAGGGTTTTGTTGGGGGGGGTTTATAGGGGCTTATATGGTTAGAGGGCTTAGGATGTAGGGCAAGTGGGGGGGGGGGGGGGTTGCTCGTTTAGAATGCGCCCCCTGTGAAGGTTCGTCTGTTATGGGATACAAGTCACCCACATTGAGAGCACACTACCTGTCTATGCCTATGTTTTGTGCAAGAATGCCTTAAAGAAGGACCCGAGGTTAACACCCGACACATGGGTTCAGGCTTCTCCGTCAGCTTGTCCCCAACAAGTCAAACGTCCGAAGCCCTCTCCTAACTGCGCTGCAGTGTGAGGGCATGAGCCCTACACCCCAATAACAACTGACCCTGCCGAAGGGAATCCATCCGATAAAATTGGCCTGACATCCCCTATATTCCCTTAGAAGAGGGTGTTAAAATGAAACCCCTAGACCTCTGTAGAAACCCCAAACCCTAAACCCTAAACCCTGTATTGGAGAACAGGTCGAGCTGGGAGTCGGAGAGATGGAGGCCTGCATCTTGTGACCCTCCGCCCGGCCTCAAGCGTTTAGGGTTTAGGGTTGAGGATTGGGGGTTGGGGGTTGGGGGTAGGGTTTAGGGTTTAGGGTTTAGGGTTTAGGGTTTAGGGTTTAGGGTTTAGGGTTTAGGGTTTAGGGTTTAGGGTTTAGGGTTTAGGGTTTAGGGTTTAGGGTTTAGGGTTTAGGGTTTAGGGTTTAGGGTTTAGGGTTTAGGGTTTAGGGTTTAGGGTTTAGGGTTTAGGGTGTGCCAAGCCTGACGCGCGGCTGCTTGTTGCCCGCCCGACCCTCCCGGTGTTCGTTGTGTAATCAATTTTTCTTTTTTTCTTTTTCTTACCCCCTTCTCTGAATTACAAGCACGTCGCGCGGAAGTTGAGTTGTAGCCGAAGGATGCAACTCAACTTGCGCGCAGATGTTTAAGAAACAAAAATTGGAGAAACCGGAGGGAAGTTTTCCCGCCAAAACAAAAGATTGTGGGTCCCTCGGAGCAGGGTCCGGGTTTTACGTGAGACTACCTGGCTGCCGCCAGCAAAACAAAGCCGCCGCTTCCTTTCAGAAGAGACCAACATGCACGCTCTTGATCCCGAAACTGTCCGGGAGGAGCCCAAAAAGGCCCCGAAACTGTCCGGGAGGAGCAGAAACTGTCCGGGAGGAGCCCAAAAGGGCTGAGAAACTGTCTGGGAGGAGCCTAAAGGCTTAAAAAGGCTTCCAGAGGCACCAAAACCCGAAAAGGCTCCGAAACTGTCCGGAAGGAACCCAAAAAGGCTTAGAAACTGTGCGGGAGGAGCAAAAAAGCGAGGAGCCCAAAAAAGGTCAGAAACCGTCCGGGAGGAGCCCAAAAAAGCTCAGAAACGAGGAGCCGACAGAAACGCGAAATTGTCCGGAAGGAGCCCGAAAAACCAAAAAGGCTCGGAAACTGTCCGGGCCCAAAAAGCTCAGAAATTGTCCGGGAGGAGCTTAAAAAGGTCCGTGAGCCCAAAAAAGTGCAGAAAATTGTCCGGGAGGAGCCCAAAAAAAAGGCGTTCAAAAAGGCCCCAAAACCCAAAAAGGCTCGAAAACTGTCCGGGAGGAGCCCAGAAAGGCCCAGAAACTGTCCGGGAGGAGCCCAAAAAAACTCAGAAACTGGAAGGATTTAAAAAGGCTCAGAAACTGTCCGGGAGCCCAAACAAGCACGAAACTGTCCAAGAGGAGCCCAAAAAGGCCCAGAAATTGTCCGGGAGGATTTGAGCAAGGGGGTCTCCGAATGCTAAATTGCTTTGAACACGAAACTGTCCAGGAGGAGCCCAAAAAGGCCCAGAATCTGTCCGGGAGGAGCACCAAAATGCTCAGAAACTGTCTGGGAAGAGCCCAAAAAAGCTCAGAAACTGTCCGGGAGGAGCCTGCAGGAATTGTCCGAGAGGAGCAAGGCTCGGTTTTGGTCAAATTCCAGAAAACGAGAACCCACCCAGCACCGTCGATTTCAGTACTAAAAAATCGCATTTTTAACTGGGACCCGGGCCGATCCTGGGGTTGTCCTCATTTGGGGTGCTTTTGGCTGAAACCGGTGAAGGCTCGGTTTTGGTCAAAAATCCAGAAAACGAGAACCCACCCAGAACCGTCGATTTCAATACTAAAAAATCGCATTTTTAACTAGGGCCCGGGCCGATCCTGGGGTCCCCCTCATTTGGGGTGTTTTTGGAAGCAAACTTTCCCCTTCAAGGGGGGGTCGGAGTTATGAGCAGGGGGGGTCTCCGAATACTAAATTGCTTTGAAAATGGGATAACACGACCCCCCCTTGACCAAAATTAGGCCGTGAAAAGGTCGCAGGGGTCCGGGTGACCCCTTTGGGGGGCATCTAAAATGCTCCCAAGCAGCTTGAAAAGCTATCGAAAAGGCTCTGGTGGCTTCAAAAAGCTCTGGGAAACTCTGGGAAGCTTGGAAAAGCCTTGAAAAACTTGAAACCCTGAAACCGGTGAAGGCTCGGTTTTAGAGCCCGCCCAGAACCGTCGATTTCAGTACTAAAAAAATCGCACTTTTAACTGGGACCCGGGCCGATCTTGGGGGTGCCCCTCATTTGGGGTGTTTTTGGAAGCAAACTTTCCCCTTCAAGGGGGGGTCGGAGTTATGAGCAAGGGGGGTCTCCGAATACTAAATTGCTTTGAAAATGGGATAACACGACCCCCCCTTGACCAAAATTAGGCCGTGAAAAGGTCGCAGGGGTCCGGGTGACCCCTTTGGGGGGCATCTAAAATGCTCCCAAGCAGCTTGAAAAGCTATCGAAAGGGCTCTGGTGGCTTCAAAAAGCTCTGGGAAACTCTGGGAAGCTTGGAAAAGCCTTGAAGAGCCTTGAAAAACTTGAAACCCTGAAACCGGTGAAGGGTCGCTTGACCAAAATTAGGCTGTGAAAAGGTCGCGGGGGTCCGGGTGACCCTTAGGAGCCCCTAAAAGGCTCCGAAGCAGCTTGAAAAGCTATCGAAAAGGCTCTGGTGGCTTCAAAAAGCCCTGGGAAGCTGTGGGAAGCTTGGAA